AAAGCGGGTGTGCATCTTCTCGTGGGAATCCAGAACAAAGTTGGAAGTCAGTTACACAGGATTGGTTTCAGTCTTTGGAGCAGATCTATGAGATGTCCTACTTTGCTCTCAATTGCATTTATTCAATTACTCTGTAATTTACTACAGGGAATGGGGCATTCTGGGTTATTTTTTATGAAGAAAAACCTCAAGAAAAAAATATTTTGATCTAGGCATTATTTGGGATTTTTATGTAAGCATAGCTGTGGGTTTTTTTTAAACTCTTACAAACATAAACAGATTGCAAATTATTTAAAAATAGGAATGTACTTGGTATATTAGCTTTAATGAGCTACAGAGCAATTTGGGTCAAGTTGGGAAACCTGCCCACTTGCTACCCTGTCAAGAGTGCTGGATGTCCTCTGTGCCTGAATTTGCTCTGCTGGATTTACTTAAACCTCCTAGGGGAAGAAAATGGATAGGCATTCTGTGCAATTCAGATTTAGCTTAAGAACTCACAGAAAGAGTGACCAAATTGTCATTATCCTGTATGAAGGAATCGCGCAAAGGAAGACTGATTGCAGACAAGTCCTCACATTCAGCCATGATGCAGCATCTTCCTTCAAGAATGRCAYCTGTACCAGATKAACCCAGTTGGCTTAATCTGTCTGKRTATTAAATCCAGACTACATTTTAYTCACAGAATTCTGTGTTGCCTTTCTGGTTGTCTAGTAGATACACAAGCATAGTATGGAGGTCAGCTTGGCTTTAGTTGAGCAAAAGCTTGCTCTTTCCCTTGGAAAATCAGCAGCCCAAAGGTTAGGGTGTTCTACATGGAGAACCTCATCTGGGTAACATTTTTAGGATGAGCTTTGTTTAAACATAAGAAAGATTTGTAGAATGTCTGAGCTCCTTTACACGTTTTGCAATTAGTAATAAAGAACTGTCTGAAAAGTGAATACGCAGAATGTCAAACCAGTCTATTAAGTASCCTTTATCCTGCTTATACAGAAGATGACTTAAGGTGGTTACCTGTCTTTCACCAGTGAAGAAATTAATCTGCATCCTCTAAAAAGTCATACTTCTGCCTGATCCTATGTCAGATGCTGTGTCAGCCTGCCCTCTCCAAAGGGAAAGGTCTATTGTAGCTGCAGGTTTAAACTGGCTTTCAAAGACCTGAAGAACAGGTCAGAGTTTCACTGCATCTGTGAAAAGATCCATCTCCTGTAATACAGAATTAGGGTTTTTACATGTTACTGGAAATCAAGAGTGCTTTCTTCTCTGCCTTCTTGTGCTCAGCAACCTTCGTGATCAACTTCTTTTTAAAGCTGTACAGACTCTCTTTACTTATTAGTCAGAGTAGCTGACTAATCAGGCCCATTCTTCAAACAGGGTGTACTTCCATTATCCCAGTGAACTCCTCCAAATCTTTCCACAAGAACACAAAGCCACCTTTGTTGCAGTCTCACTTAAAAGATCATTTCTGAGACTGAACCATCAACAGTTACTCTTACTAGTTATGGGCCATTTGTTTATACCTGTCCATAAGAAGCTTTAAATTATTTCACATTAAYCTAAACCAAATGTTGAATCTTTGTAAATATTCCTCTTTTTTAATTGTTTTATACGTAATTAGCTCATACCTATTTTACAGAAAGATCTGGGCAACAATCATCAAAAAATCAACGTTTATGAGAAGTAATTATGACAATGAAGAATTCAACGGGGAAGGAAGGGTAAAGTTTTCCATTTAAAGCATTGTCACAAGTTTAAATTAAGCTCTAGTTATTTAAGTATTTAGATGAAAAAATTAAGACATGAAAGTCTAGAAGACACATTTGGTAGTCTACTGTACCCACACACAAATATATTACATTAATAATGTGATAATTTAGAAGTTAATAGATGAAAGCACACATTCCTTCCCACTTCACCATGCTGCTAATCCGATTTTTTCCCTTATACAGATTAATCTGTAAGTATATACAACTTCACTGCAATACAGTGCTATTCTTTCATCCCCTGACTCAATAAAGGTTAATACCTCACTATAAAAGATTAAAAAGGCACAGTGAAAATGAAAGTGAATTTGTATGAAATCTTTACTGCTGAAGGGGCTTCCAAAACCAGGGAAGAGGTAACTTAGCAAAACTCCATTTTACATACCCTGGAAGACTTTTCCCAGACATTCTCTAATGCCTCTGATACCTAAGCAGAAAACCCCATTCAAAGAAATGTATTTTTAGTGCATTTAAAAACTGTTCATACATTTCACAGCTTTCCAGCAGGATGTGCAAGTACAACAGAAGACAGGATGCAAGCAAGTTTTAAGCGTAGTTTATTAATTTCAAGCAATTGCCACTTSTCAACATCCTCCACTCACATTACAATTTTACACATGCTGTAGAAGATCCCTGAATCTCCAGCAGTATCACAGTCTGGTCTGCCTTCTGTGTGGGGGTCAATATACACATAAAGGGTCTTCAGAGGTTTAATGCCACTTACCCTATGTATGGAGATAAAGTATTGTTAAAAAGCTTTTAAAGGAATCGTTATCTTCTATTAAAAACTCTTGAATGGTAATTAATTTTTAAACTAAGAARTATACACCAAGGTAATAAAAACACATTCTAGCTCCACAGGGCTGGTATCTTGCTTTTTCTGAAGGCTTGGAAAACTGAGTATGGTAAATGTGAAGCTCCTTGTCAACACGTGGGAGAAGGAAACAGAAATCAGCACAATAGGTTTAGGCAAACTTTCTGTATGTTTTTWTGCCTCCAGCAAAGATAAAATTTTTTTTCTTCAGGAGGAAAAGCTAAGTTGTTCTCCCTGTTAGATCAGTTGAGAAATTGATCACTCTGTTGCACAGCTGTTCTGTTTGCACCCAACCACAAACGTAAGAATTCAGCTGACTGTAGTGGCAGCCACAGCTACTCTCCTCTCCTCAGAGACCTCAGGCAATGGGGCCAGGTATTGCCCAAACTGGAGAGAGTCCTTAACAGTGCCAAAAAGTGCTCAGTTCCAGAAGTTTTTGAAGCCTCAACTAAAAATTTTTCTACAGTTGACAATAAGAAGTATCAGCTGGATGGGGGAACTGAAATCCACTTGTTTAAAATAACTCCCTGACAGCTATTCTCTGTATTGACAACGAAGTTTGATATAGTTACAGTAAATTATGAACCTACTGAAGTTAAAGGGAAAAGTGCATCATCTACTAAATATTTTACTAGTTAACACATTTATTTTAACCAAATAGTAGCCAAGTTATTTTCCTAAATGTCACAGATTTTGTACTGCTCATTCTATCATTTTAYGAAAACTACATTTAGAAAGTAACCCTTATTTACCTACATTTAATTACAATTAAAAAAAATCTCTTCAACCAGAAATGAAACAATCTATGCAACAAAGTTTAATACAGCAAGTATGTTTCAGGAATTATCAGTAATGCAGCAGTGTTAATCAATTCTAAACTGAAAAGCTGGAAACTAAAAGATTAAGACAGAACTAGATGAAGAGTGTTTTTCATATCTTTTATAGGACAGAAACCTTTGTTCATGTCTTCTGGTAGCCTTCATCTTCTTTTGAGCTGCACCTACAACACAAAGAACAGGTAAACGAGCAACTTTATGCTTCTCCAGAACAGCTTAAAACAGTTCTGTAGGCATTTAGGGGCATCTTTTCTACTGCTTTGTTTCTGTATCACCAACTCATWTCATTGTTTAATATTCCTATTTTAAGAATAAAGTACAAAGCAACAGAAGGAACAAGCTATTACTACATCTGTGTAAAAGGGCCCTCAGAAGTGCTGCCTATGTTGTAAAAGTCCAAGTTACACTTTCTGTATTTAACTAGCAAGCAACTAGTGTTTCACTAAACATGAAAGCTAACTTTTTTCATTTCCGGTGAGAAAGATACCTTAAATATGTGGAAACAAGGAGAGATTGGTTTTATTTAGGAATATTACAATATAAATTAAGAAGAGACAGGTTGAAGGTTCCAAATAAGCATACAAAACCACCCATCTCCTGCTTGTTTTTGTAGTTAGTTCATTACATCTCCTCGGTGGGGTATTCCCCACCAGCAGAATGACCTGCTTTGTGGCACTTTTCCTCATTCTTGAGTGCACCAARAGTGCATGATTGTTGCCATTATGTACCTAGACGGATACAAAAATCCTTCTTAGTTCAAAGTATTATGAAGTTTGTGAAACCAGTGGGGTTTTCACAGCCTGTCAGAATATATTAATAAAAAATGAAAAGAAGAACTTAACATTGTCAAAGAGAACAATTAAAACAGCAGYAGGGACCTGAAAAAGTTGTTTCTGTTTTCCTCACCCTGTATAACCAACTCAATTGTCTCAAGCTCTTTAACTTGTTGCTAAATGTTTATCTACACATGCTGTCAGAAATAACCTTGTTAGGAAGGTGAAGTTGGTGTCTCAGCAAATCAGACCCATGGAGTAGGCGTTGAGTGGCCTGTGACTCGCTTTCCTTTTTTCTCTTTCAGCACCATCAAAAGGAAAAGTGAGAAAAACAGCACAAACATTAGTTAAAGCCTGAATTTAATCCCATGTCCTACAGGAATAATTTCATTACAATGAAAGCAGACAGACAGTATCTGTASGGTTTTTTGCTTTGTGTTTAAGTAGTGATAATTATATACCCAATTAACATAGCCTATAGCTCTCTCCAAGATCATAATATTTAATAATCCCTTTAATCRAATGATTAATAGGAAATGCAGGGGTGGGTCTTACAAATTACCTGATTTACCATCACTGAAGACAGATTCTTTTAAAAATGGCTACAAATGCCTTGTTCACAAAAGACTTTATTATCTAATGATGCATACTGAAAACATACAGAAATCTGCATGGTCCACTTTACATGCAGCAGAACAATCTTCACTTTACAATAAGTAAGTGTCAACTGTTTTATGCAAGAGACAACACTTTAAAGTCACATTTCTTAAAGAAAAGCTTCATTTACAAAAGAAATAAAAGGTAAAGAAGCAATTACCGCTTTTAAAAAGCAGCTGCTTTGTTCAAGAGTGGAAGGTTTATGCCTGTATTGAAAGACAACATGATCACAAATAATGAAAACAATGAACAAATGAAACACTTTTAGCATAAAGCAGTACACTTTCAAAATGACATACAAATAGTTAAAAATTTCGTTATGTTGTCTATCTATCCTTTAGATATAAGGTCTTTCGAATGAGATCCCAACATATGTAATTACTAAATGAAAACTCTTCTGTAAGTATTGGTTCTATGTCATAGTGAACTGTATTTAACAAAATGTATACAAAGTCTATAGCAAGTTGATTAAAAAAATTAAAGTAATAAGAAACAGTACACTGAAGGCGCTCTATCCATCAAGTGCGCTCTCTCCCAGTTTTAAATGTGATGAACAGAACAGAAGTTGTAACTAYGCCACGGTTGCAATGCCAGAAAATAAAACAAGATCATTTCTCAAACATGCAGGGAATCTGCCACAATGCTATTGTCTCTCATTTGTCAGTTGTTCCAGTAAAATAACAGCTTAAACACCGGTGATGTTGATGGGTTAGCTTACCTTCAGTGTACTGAAAGTTGTACACAACCTGCTTTAAAAGAGGAGACCATCCCTGCGGGCAGGCTCAAGAAGGAACAGACCCCCTTCGGCACTGACTACACCAAGGGCATGCTGCTGTGGCCTGCACACACACACCTAGGAAAATGTGAATATAAACAGCATTTATGCTGGCCATTTTGTAAAGACAAAAATGAAGCCAAGTCTGCTAAAAACAAATCAACCACCCAGTATTACTGCTCTCTTTTTTTTTTTCCTTTTTTTTTCTTTTTTTTATAACAGATGCTTTTTTCTTTTTATAATATATACGAACTGCAACCATATACATTAGCATTGTACTTTTGTGCAGTCTTGGCAATAAAACAGTTCTACAGTGAAAATTTTCACATAAGACACAAAACAGAATTACTCTAACATTTCTAAAAGAAATATCAGCCTTGATGTTAATTCAAATGTATCATTTCTTCCTCAACTTTGCAGGGGAAATATTTATGTTTATATACATTAATAACTGCTGTGAAATTTCTTCAGTCTTTGTATCTTAATTAATCAAACCCTTTGAACTTCTTCATCTGGTTTAAATTTTCTCCTGGATGAAGGCGTGCTGTAGAGCCTGGTTGATGCTAATCCGTTTAGCTGGGTCTAGCATTAGGATCTGGTCCAACAAGTCCTTTAGCTGGTGCACTTTTTTACGCTGGTCTTCAGGGAGTCGTTGGCACCCAATCAAGTCTGCTAATAGGTCCTTGGTTGGATTAATGGTGCTCATAACAGTAACTTTCTCCTACAAACACAAAAATGGCAGCTTTGTAGAACAGAAATAATGTATTACCCCCCATCCATCCTTTTTACAGTGTTTCAGCAGCAGCTYTTCTGCAGGGTTGTCTCACAGCTGAGCAACAACAACCCTTCCTACATATGGTCTCATAAAATCGTCATGTGGTGGAGAGTGGAAAAAACACTATCAGGGGAGAGGTCACCAACACAGCTTCACACACGAACCTAACATCCCAGCTAATGAAAACATGGAAGTCCACATGGAAAGTTCCCATATCTGACCACTATTCTGTGATTCTTTTTAAATATTGTATGTCAAAATGATACTAAAATATGGACCTCATACAATATAACCACATTGTACTGAAGTTGAACATCCTTCTACAAAATTAAGGCAAAGTGTCTTTGATTAATAATTAAGGATAGATTACATGGAGATACCCTGCATACCTACCAGATTAAACTTAGATTTCTCTTAATCCTGTTCCTACATCGCAGAAAAAGTCTTTTGCCATTTTATAACTATGTAATCTGTCCATACTGCTGCAAAAGGACATTGTAATAGCTTACAAAATCTTGGTTTTGATTAGGRTGCCAAGGTACATTTAAAAGACCATAGAGTAGGAACGCTTGGAGGAAAGTGCTGGGTTAGTCAACTCATTCAGGACTTACCCTTTCTGTCACTTTATCTACTTCTATATACATAAAGTTGAGATTTTGATCAAAGTGCTGATCTTTGAACACACCTTTTCGAATCATCTGGAAAATGAGGAAGAGGTAAGAGTTTCAGGCAAATTTCACAATTAACATCAATTTATTGCAACATGCRTAATTTAATATTAATAAAAAATATACCAAAAGGAGAGGATGAAATGCTAAGATAGAATACAGAGGTACAGTTCAAACCCTTTGAAAAAGGACACAGTATCTTTCATTGACTTACGCATTTTTTTTCAGGTCAGTGCTTTAGAAGGTTTCTGCTTTCACTTTATACTTAGTCTATGAAAAAGAAGCTGTATACTTTCACTTCACAAGAYTTTAAATCAGTACAAATTACACAGTCAGAGCAAAGTCTAGTATTTACTTACTGTTAAGAAAGCATGTATATGATAAGAAACAGAATTCCAGGAGAACAAAGAATGTATGTTCTACTGTTCATTACAGCAGTTTCAGATATTAAGTACTTATTTTTCTTACCTTGTTTGGCATCTTTCCTTTGAGATCCATGGCAAGTTTCAACATATGATTATTCGTTTTGCCAGGAAACAGTATTTTTCCTGTATAAAGCTCATATAATGTGCAGCCTACAGACCACATATCTATACCATAGTCATAGATTTTCCCTATAACTGAAACAGAGCAATTCCAGTTAATTCCATAAAGGCAGACTTTGATATAATATCACAAAAGCAGACAGATTAAAAAATTCTGATTTGTAAACTATATTGGTGCTGCTTCTCTTAAGATAAAGAATAAAAAGTTACCATAAAAGAAGGATGCAAACCTTTTAACTTTTGAAGTACTTCTATTTCAGAAAGRGAGGTTTTTACCTATCATCTAAACTGATCAGCAAAAATAGCAAAAACCCAGTAGTAAGAACAATACCTCCACATTTAAACAACTACAACACATCAGAATTACTTCTCACTGAGCCGATAACCAATATACATGGAGAGTTCCACAAACATGCTTTCACAAAGTCTGATTTTTTGACTGCTATCATATTTCCAGATTTATGTTTTGCTAAAACTAGAGAATAAAATCCAAGTCAAATTTTCATCTAATTTTTCTGCTAATACTGGCATTTCCTGGTATGTGATAGATAGAGCTAATCCAAAATGTACTTACTGATTTCTGGAGCTCGATAAAATCTACTAACTAGATAGGGTGTGATGTCATTATCTGCAACATGTGAAGCTGATCCAAAATCACAAAGCTTTAGTATTGTTTTAGACTCGTTCACCTGAAAGTTAAACAAATATCCATTAAGAGGATTTGTGGTCAGAATTGATAACAGCACTGTAAAAGTGGCAATATATTTAAGTCAAACATAGGAAAAACATTCAGCCTTTAAACTGGAAGTTCCTTCCTCTTTATTCTAAGACAATTGTAAAACTTGCTCAGAATGAAAGTGACAGGTAATATCTTCAGATGCTACAAAATACAAAAAAGTCCRTTTCATGTACTTTTCCCATAACAAAGTATTTTTGGTAGACCAAGATTTCATTCCAGATACTGAAAAGTTACCAATTTAGATTTTCAACTCAGTATCCAGAGTATCACTCATAAAACAGCATATTATTCACATCTCATGCTTACACACTAAATTTTACTGCTGAGATAGTAATAAGAGAACATCTTAGATAAATTAAAAATCTGAGTTTGTCACAGGGATGATGTCCAAAATAACCAAAGGAAACCATTAAATCTCTGATGTAGCTCTCATTCCCTACAAGAAAAGAGGCACTCCGGACCTTTCCCCATTATCTCACTCACATAAACAACATCTCCATCCAGACTCAATCTCCATTTTGCAGAAAGCAAGAACATCTTTCCAATATTGATGGGAAAATTTCAAATATTTCTCCTGTAAGACAGTGCCTAACTTTGGAAAATCTGCTTTCTATAAAGACAGAAGTGGATGCATGTTTGTTTGAAAAGGATTTTGTTTAGCTGCAGTATTGAATTTCTTACTACTTATACCACAATATTATTTTACATTGAAGTGTGAAGCCGTAATATTTTCAGTAAATTTGACTTCASCTAAATTACCAGAATTATATGAATTTCAAATACTTTATTTTACACTAAAAACCATGCAAAGGAAGTTTTAATTATTTGTTACTTACCAAAATGTTATCTGGTTTAATATCTGCATGTAGGATATTGCATCTTTTAAGAAGTTTTAAAGCTAGGAACAATTGCTGGCTGTAGGAACGAACAGCTTTRATATGGAGTCCAACATCTTTCCCATACTTCTTCAACACCTCTCGTAAATTCATACTGTTAAGGGAAAGGGGGAAAGAAAGAATTGGAAAGAGCTTAATAAAAAAAATCCCAAGTGGTCTCCTAAACTCTCTAACAAATATGAACAAACCAGTYAGCTTAAAGTATTTTTTGAGAAAAGTAACATTCAACCTAACATACCACTCTGTTAGCAACAGAATTGAAATAAAAAGTCTGGTCAATCAGATCTATCCTATACTGTGTAATTACTTATTACATTGGATTTACTTAATTCAGTGCGTATTTTTAAACAATATTGATTTGAGAAGATTTATTTGCACATGAACAGCATTTTCTTAACAACCACAAACCCTTTGTAAACATTTTCTTCAGAAATAAATGAAAAAAGCAGCATGAAAAAGATAGAAATTGAGGAGATTTCTTTGGTGACATAAGCAGCAGATAAAGAGACCATCACTCCAGGACAAAAACATAATTGGACATAAATAAGATACAAGTGTGTTATCAAGAGACAGTATATAACTTATCTTCACCCCAAATATGACAAAAATCAAAATATGTCATAGACAGAAGACAGGATATGAACAAYTGAAGTCTCTAAGGGGGACAAAGGCAATTAATGTATGGAGATCTACCATAAAACAGATCTACAATCAACCTGTCACAAGAGGTTTATTACTTGAACAGAAAGTGAGCATGCATGAACCAATGTAATGGTTTTCTTCCTTAGACTGTTATTAAATATGTACTCTTCACAGAATATACAGCATTTCCTGAATCTCTCTGGGAATGCRTTCTTAATACAAGCCCTTGAAATGAAGTTATAAAAACTAATAAAAATACTGACCTACACAAAAAAAATCATTAAGAGCTGTATTAGTGATATGAACCATCAYTATTGTATATTACCATCATATGAACCATCTATTATCTTGTTTCAAATATTTTCCAGGCAGAAAATTTACAACTATGCTAAAGGTAAATCAGAAACAGATCAGTAGTCTGTGAGTTTGCACTTGCAGACAATTTTGTTTTGTTTCAAAGTTCCTTGCATTCTTGAATCTTAGACTAGAACAAAGTTTTAAAACAACAGCCAAAGACAGAAAGGTAAAGAGCCCTCAATAGTACTTTACCTTTTACAGAGAACACCAAACATTTGTCATCTTACCTGAGTGGCTCAAATACCAGACAGAGATGCTGCTTGTGGTAGAAATGCCTGAACAACCGTAGACAATGAAACTTGTCATCAGGATCAGCATCATTGAGCTTCTTTAAAAATTCCAGTTCTTTTAGGCCAGTTTTTTGCCTGAAAACAGAGAAATGTGATTATAAAACAAAATCAATTAAATTCTAGTATTTTTTTAATCTAGACATTCACTTGTGTGSTTATAATTATCCAGGCATGAGAAGTGTCTTGTCATTACTTAATGTGCCATGGCTAAAACAAAATCTCAACAGTGGTTTGCTGTGGGTGACTACACACAGTTTAAGTTTAAGTCACGGCTCTTCACTCTAACTTTGTAACCTACTTATCCTTTCCTCCTTACTCTCAGTTGCATGTAAAGCTGAAACTGGATTTCATCCTGTAATATGACAAATTTTAAACAGTGCTCTCTTAAGAAGTTTACTTTTTTGAAGAAGTACTTCACCACACACATTATTAAAAGACTTAAGCTGAACTGACTATAGATGCAATTTCACATCCAAGCCTATTACCTATTCACCAAACTAAAATATCTTATCACCCTCCCATTCGTCTTTAAAATTTTTCCAGATACTTACTCGCATAACTAAAACCAATCCAGTTATACACACAATAAGACAATTTTTAAAACTTTAAAGGTAAAATGCATGGAAAATACTTTCATTTAAGTTTTTAAGAGAAGAGGACATAATAAATGACTGTATAAATATTGCAGCAGATAACTAAAATGAGTATTGTAGACAAGTCCTCAAATAACATAGTTTAAGAGATCCTATCTGCTAATGTTTGCTCATTCTAAAAGACCTTTTGTTTTGTATTTCAACAGTGAGAGTCCCATCTCTTTTTATATGTTTCTTATACATGCAAACATTTACAGAAGACAAAAGAAAAGAAAAAATGTATGGAGATCCTTTTGTAACTTGCAGATGATTGACTGGGATCCAACCCATAGCCTGACAAATCCATTTGGTCCACCAAAATAAAATTTTTACAGTCCACAACTTCTATCTCAAAAAATGTAGGGCTCTCAATTAGCTGTAACATTGTTTCTTGCTATCACTGTTCCCTGAAGTTTTGCAACCGAGAAAGTGCCTGATTAAAATGCCAGTACCCTTTTTCCTGTGATAGCTGTAAAGAATTGTGGATACACAGTCCTCAAGCGCTTCCCATTATCTGGCTCATATTAGCAGAAAAGGCAGGCATCACAGCTGTGATCTGTTACTTCACTTGAAACAAAGGGAGATGCAAATCACATCATGAAAAACTTCCAACTGTTCCACACGATTTACTACCATCAAACAAAAACATTACTTACATAAGTTCATTGTTCCTGATGATTTTCACGGCTACTTCTTGGTTTGCTCTGGCCATGTCCCTGGCACGCACTACGTTACTGAAGACTCCCTGACCAGTGTAACCATAGACATTGTAACGTTTATCTAGAACTTCACCTATATTAACACCTGAGGGATAAAACCAAACAAGTTCAAGTTATAAGAAATAAACGTAATGGAACTTTTCATGAAAAAAACCCCATTCGCTATCGTTACAAAGCATGGGGGTAAATAGCAAAATCCATTAATTTCATGGTGTACAATGTTTTTTTATCACCTAGCTTTGTGGAAATTATGGGGAACAAAGAGATTATTTTCTAAGTCTGGAGTAATTTCAAAACTGAGGTTTAAAATCTGCATACTCATTTCATCCATCACACACTCAGAGAGGGCTCTAGAATACACCTATGTTAGAACAACGTTTCAACACTTATTTAAACATGAGGATCTTCTCCACTCAGCACCCTCAACTCAATCTATCTTGCTGATAAACAACTTACGGTAATAGCCTTCTGCATCCGTCCAGTTATCCCTGAGGTTGGGGTTTTCTTTGAAGTCTTTTCCAAACCCAGCAGCCCTTAGACGAGCACTCTGAAATGAAAAGTAACAGCTTTGCTTGCGTGTTCTGTATTCTTCCTTGATGTTAACGTACCAAAGCCCTTTTCCCCTACTGAAACACTGTTTCTCTCCACAATGCAAGCACATTTATCTTGCAGGAAAGAGAAATAACTTATTGTTATTTACATTGCAGTATCTAAAGGGTGATGCAAGGAAAGAGGATGAGACCAACCAATACTAAACATAAATGGGTACAGTTTCAATTAACACCCACAAGGAATTAATACAAGTCAATTAGAATGCACATTTTGGACCACCTAAGTAAGACTTCTTATTTACAGTAAATTTATAGTAAAAAAGTTTAGCAATTTGCAAGGAAAATACAACTGTTTAAGCCTTGAATTTCTGTTCATTACATGCCACTTGTTTCATACTGTTGTACATACAACCATACACTTCTGTGATTGCTGCTGACATCTCTTAACAGACTGGGCAATATTTTACCAATTTAAATTCAAAACTATGTGTAGTAAAGACTGTCTTCAATTGAACAATCCCCTTTCTGGAAAGGGGATCTGTTCACTTACAAACCACATACATCCCCATTTGTAACCTCTGATCTTTTAAACATGCATTCTCACATACACACACTACCCTTTAAGTATTCATCTTTTTCCAGGTCAAAGGGACACCAGCGTTACCAGAGAAAACCAAAACACACTTTTGTCACCAACACAGCCATCATTATTAATATCTGAAATAAACCAAAATTAACTGGAGAATTTTTAAGTTAAGAAGAAAGTTCTTGTCTTTACTTATTTCTCAGTGTTGTGCATCAGCAGCAATGCAGAGGATTTATAGAGAATGGCATGTAAAGTCTCAAAACGAGTCACTGGACTGCCAATATCTGCAGGTCACTCATTTAGAGAAAAGCTAATGAAAGTGCTACRTTTCCAGGTTTTACTTTATCTCTTCATTCCAAAAAATCTCAAAACAAACCACCAGATTACKCTAACATGGCATCATTAGCCAACTATAGTAACTTACACATATTTTAATTAACCACATATGAACCTCTGGAAAAAGCTCATATTTAGAACACTGCAGTGTGGTAACATTAATAAAAAGCTGAACTTAGTAAAAATATGAATCTATTTATATGTGCTGCTGTATTCAAACAGCAGGTGAATTCCAAATTGCTTACTCTGGTAAAACTGCCACTAATTTCAGCAGGTTTTATTTCACTGAAATACTAATTAAGTATTACTTTGCCTGCCTTAGCTGATCAAAATATTAGGAACATGCAAATCACTTAGCTGTATGTGCTTTTACAAATCAAAGTTCTCACAACCCTCAAGTGACAGTGACTCTAACAAAAATCAAGCAGAAAAAATTCATAAATTTCATCTCCAAGAATTACCTACATCAAAGTATGCAGCGAACATATCATCTGATTCTGTGAACATATCGGGAGCTAGCAGCTTCTTCTGAGATGAACCTTAAAATGAAATTTAGATTACTTAACATGAAAGAGATGTCAAAAGATAACTCTGTTGCCAATGTCATTTGGCATCCTTACAATAATYTAAAATCAGTATATTGGCAAACAGGTAGCTCTACTAATGTTTGCAGCAAAATCATTTCACATATTTCACATTCTACAATATAAAACTCAGACTAGTTAAGTTCTTCAAAGCCCTCAAAAATTTATACCTCCTTGAAAAACTATGTATAATAGCTTTCAAGTAAGCACAGCAGGAAGAAAGAACTACACACTTACACGCTCCCTACAAATAAAGACGATGTATATACATATAAAAGGAATATATACATGTATACATAAAAAAATACAGTCATATTTTCAATATACGAATTCAGGCTTTTCTGCTAATCACAAGATATTTTACTAAACACCAAAGTTGTAAAGCCCAGAAAYTTTTCCTTTGGAAAATGTTTTCTCCAGCCATGCTAAGAAGGATCTTACAAACCTGTTGGGCAGCTTTTTGTCAAACATAATGTTTACTATTGTGTTAAAGGGAAACATTTTTATTGTGGGCAAGATTATCCCTTTCTCACCTTTTAATCATCTTTAAGCCCCAAAGACATTTTACTTGGTTGATAAGATAAAAGCAAAGAAATGTAAATTARGTACACATTAGCAAAAGCAAGAAAACTTCAAACTATTTCATAACACACATTATGGCAGCAGCCCTTCATGAACATGGTAAATCAGAGACCCTCCCTTCACTATGCAATGGAGAGAAATAGAGACCTAATCAAGCTCAGAGGCTTCAGCTCTCATGATGCACACAGCCAACCACCTCCATACCACGTAACCAGAGTGAAATCTGACAGCATAAAAAATCATCCAGCATGCTGATACATACCACTGTTTCAAGGTAAAGACCTGCCACCTGACACTTGTGGGGAGACAGTTTACACCACTATTTTGAGCTCCAGATCCCTCGAGAAACTTCCTCAAAATTTCATTTTAGTTCCAGTTACCCACACTGGGCTACAATGAGTTATTAACTAGATTCTTAACAACACACTACTCTGGCACTATAAGAGGTCAGGATAGAAATAAAAAATTACTCTTGCAGAGAAAGACAACCCACTGGTTTCACCTGTTGCTACAGCCACCTCCAATCTAGGATCCTATTACCCAGATGTGAGTGTAACTGATTTGTTTTTAAAAACCTTTTTCATTTATCTACATGGAAACTGCCTATGTAGTTAAGACTTGCATTTACGTATGCTTTAATAGACAGAATAAGAGCAATACACACTTTGTCAAAAAAGGAAAAACACATTGTCTGTTAATAAGACTAAGTCTAAACTTGTGGTATGCAAACAAAGTGCTAGAATAATTCTTTTTACCAATATTGCAAGAGAACAATCTGAAAACACGTGGCTCGAGGRAACACCAGGATAAAGTAGAGAGCAGTACAGCAGTCCCAAAGAGACCCAGCTTTATTAYTTAGAAGTATCCATTAGAGACAGTGTATTTAGCTCCCAAGGGYACATGTGGCGCAGGACATGAAATACAAGTGAACTGCAACTCTTTCCCTCAGAGGAGTTGGGCTGGCTAGAGAGCCCTTGTTAAACAGTGCTATTGCAATTAAACTGTGGAAAGAAAACAAAGCAACTTAAACAAGCTCAAGTATGACCACACAGCAACTCCACACTTGGAAGATGTACAGTAATCCACTTTTATAAGACAAAAAAAGCAGCAGACTTTCAATACTACAGGGTGTGCTGGGAGGTGTTCCGCATTCCTTTTGTTGCAGCTGGCACAAGGCAGGTTATATATAATTTTCTTTAAAATTTCAACAATGCTGTACAATAGAGTACATGCAGTGGAGACGAGAAAGAAAATACCCATTTCAGCAATTAGCTATGCTGCTAAAATGGACTTACTAGCAATAAGCTAGTAATAACCTCAAAAGCTTTAATAATTCTCAATTATTACAGACCCATCTATATTCYTCTGTCACAGTGGTTTTGACTAAAAAAAAAGGTAGAAAAGGAGCATAATTTCCAACCTACACAAAATAAAGCCCAGGACAATACTAAGCTTCTAAGAAAACAAGTCTGAGTGAAAAGTTTGGAAGGGTAATTCTTAACCATAAAGATAGACATTGTTGTTTTGCTCTTCCAAATGAAAAGCACTAACTGTGTTAACAGTTATCAGAAAYACAGAGAACATGTTCCACTCATCCTTCCTAATGAGGAAGCTTGATTTTAATRTTATGTTTTAAGTACCATAATACTMATGAAAACATTCTCAAATTCCATCMAAAAAGTGTATCTACTTCCAAGTCTGAAAGTAAACCAAGACRAGTGTCTGAGCTTTCATAAATTGCATTAAAGAGATTTCAGAATCTTACCGTTGTTCTGTTCAACTGTCATGAGGTTGTGCTTGGCTTTTACTGATGCCTCAAATGTGTCCACATTTTCCCGTTCATATTCCTTAACATCAGCAGCGACTCTTTCTAGGATGTCATCAGGAGAATTTGAGCGACTACGTGTACTACTTTGAGGACTGCTTGGTTCAGATGGTACAGATATATTACTGTCTTCTGTCTGGCCTTTGTATTTCTAAAAAGAAATTCAATTTTTAATCTTGCCATCACAATTTATCACAATTTAAACATTTTAATATCTACCTCTTCAGTGGTTTGTACTTTAAGATGAAACCTTAATCTTTGCTTTCATAACCACCTACATCTCTGAAGAGATTATTTGCAGCATTAAAAAAGTTCAAACAACATCTATACTTTTTTTTTACCCTTAAGTACTATGAAATTATACAGATCTCACTTCCTATACCAAAAGTTAAAAATCAASATGAAGAAATGCTGACACCACTCAGCTGGGCAAGGTCAAACTATTCAATAATACAAGCAGAGGTTTTGCATTTAAGGAATTAAGCTCTTTAATTTGCTTCCTGCCTGCACCAACCTCAGGTGTAACCAGTTTTTAAGACTTTATATAGTATGGCTCAGTTGTAGTTCAGAAGGATTTTACAATGGGCTTTGCATAAGACTCAAATCATGAACAGTATTTTTAGAGCTATTTAAAACAAGCAGTACATTAACACCAGTGATTTTGTACCTGATAGGACATAAATACGCTACAGCATTTTTCTCGCTATGTTCTAATTGTGTGTCAAATCCTACTCTGAAAAGAGATAGCTGATTTGTACTGTACAGTTACAYCCCCTTTGGCCACAGCTCCTTTCAGGACTCTGGATCACACATTACATTTGTGATTACTGTTACCTTGTTACCTGGAATAAGGAGTTCATGGRAACTCACATATGCATGACTACATTACCTGCTTTTAGGGAGGAACCCATGATGGTGGCTTTACAAAATGTTGGAAATTGACAACTTCTACTTGAAACAAACTGACCAGTTAGCTTTATTAATATATACCTTACTGCTATACTAACATTATTATATCAATGAAAGAGCCATAGAAAAAAACATCAGATGAAGGTAACTGAAGAACATTTTTAATGTGTCTAAAGACTGACAGAGAACATTTAACTGTTGCAAAAAATGATCCACAAAAGAGTCACTTCAGTTTCAAAAGCAGTGCTGTGACAAGAGAAGTGCAAAGTTTAAGAGACTAACATTTACAGTACACTAACTGGAAAAATACAGCAATAGGAATTACTCTCGTAATGCACCAACAGGCAAAGAGCCTTCCTTTACCCCAACATTTTACACTAAAAATACAGAAGTAATTTCTGTAGCCATGTACCTGAACAATTGCTTGCCGCTGTAATCTCCTTTGTCTTATCTCTGCTTCTTCATCCTCTTCTTCTAAATCAAAATCTTCAAGACTACAAAAATACAAATTTTTATACAACTACATAAACATATAATTATCTACTGAATTTTATCAAGTGCAGTTCCTTGGCATACAACACACAGAATATATTAAACAATAGCTGTTCAAATGACTCAGAAAGCAACCGTGTATTAAATCCCACTGCATACATTTACATTTCCTTACAAAGAAAATATATCTCTTGGTATCTCATTGGGACTTTAATTGCAAACAATTAACAAYCACCTTTCAAAAGACAACAAATTTTGTTCCTTTTCTCTGCAGCATCATTCTTCTTTAACAATTTGATTAAGAATGCATACTCTTGCACAATTCAATAACTAGATGTTTAGAAAATATAAACATAATTTGCAAACGGCAATTAATCCCTTCAGCTAAAAGTTTTTACTCAAGCTTCAGAAATCAGACCAAAGTTTTMACAAGACACTGATCAAGTTGAATTTAAAAACCTAATGGCATATCCTCCCCTCAAGTCTGCCTGCTAACCAACAGGTGTTGGTATTTTTTGCATATTGCATATTCCCAAGTTTTTCAGAACCTCCCAACAGTACATTGACAAGATTGCAAGTATTAAGATATGATTATGATTTCAGGTGACAACTCAAAAACTACACCATGAAGATAAATAGTAGTTCATTCTTGCTATCAGTGGAACTGTAAGTTTTAAATTATCAGTGCAAGTTAGAAATTCATTCTTACTTTTCATCTGATGAAGAYTCCTGTTCAGCTTTCATGCCCTCAGAAAGACTACCTTTAAATTTGTCTTCTTTAACTTTGCTTCTGCTCCTACGTCTGTGGCCACCACGAGACCTGGACCTCCTTCGAAGGCGAGATCTACTTCTCCGGCCTCTGTCCCTGTTTGATAAGAACAAAAGATTTGGATATTGGGGTGCTTTTTTTATTTTTTTTTAAGAAAAGGAAAAAAATATTTTCAGAAAACATAAAGATACACAATGATTCCAAGTAATAAAAAAAATTAATTAATGAAGGACAAAATGAATTTAACTATTCTAGCACATATTGACATGACAAAAAAAATAGCATAGTCTTTTTACACGTAAAACAGCAATTCTTATCCTCTGCATAATATTCTACAAAATACACTTAAAAATACAAGGTTGATAAAAGCAAGAGGTCTTTACCTCCTCCGAGGAGATCTACTCCGCCTTCTGGGMGATCGACTACGTCGAAGGGGTGTTCGAGATCTCCTCCTGATGGGAGACCGAGATCTTCTTCTGGATGGGGACCATCTGCTGGGTGGGCTGACATCCTTTGATCTTTCACGTCTAGACAAAATGTCATCTCTGGTCCGTGTTCTTAAAACAGAGGAAGAGAGCAGTAGTAAAAATCAGAAGCAAGCTGAAAACAAAAAAATTCATTGCCTATAAAAACTCACTTGAAAAATCTTACTGCAGGTGAGGGACCACCAGATGGGCTTCCAAGGGAGGGATGGATAAATAGGCTTCAGAGCTGGTTGCCCTTCCTGCGTGTCTCTCCCCACCCTGGGAAATGTGTGCCCATACAAAGATCTAGTTCAGGACAAGTCTGAAAACAGCTCAAATTACTACCATGAAGCTAAGAGAGGTTATAAAACAAAGCTTGTGTTTAGATCTTACACGAATAGCRGCCTGCCTGTTCTCACATTTACCAGAAACACTTTTAAACAACACATGAAACCCAAAATCTTATTCTTGAGAATTATTTCACCAACTTCCCATCACAGCATTGAAATTTAGGCTTAGGATCATGCTACTTCACAGTAYTGGTAATAATGTGTGTTTCAATTTGGGCACTACAACTGCGTGGCTCCAACGTATCATGCATTCTGAAACAGCAGATGAAAAAYAGAATTCTCAATTAACATGTAAGATAACCCTTCTCAAACTGAAAAAAACAATTCAAGTCTGGTACTATACGCACTATTCAAAATTTGTTTATTTTTGCTTACACAGATTCACAATCACTCAAGAAGAAAAATCCTCGACGGGACTACTGAATTAAAAATCTTAACTGCATGACAGCAAGAGTTCAATAAAAATCAGGAAGAATATAAATTAAAAATTTAACAACTATTCTAATGAGGATGCATTAGAAATTGGAAAATAGTTTCACACTATGTCAAAGGAAATATTGCTACTTTTTTTTCCCCCTGCTCCTTATGTTTGGTTTGKTTTTTTTTAAACCAAGTTGAAACATCTTATTACAGGTGTTATTATCTCATCAATGAACAAAATATCTTGGATCTGAAAGACTAATTCCACCCATTCTGTGATTTTTTTCATCTGAGATTACTGCATCAGTTTCAATTATGTTAATTACAGACAGTGATCAGACACACAGAACTGATACAAAATAGTGAAMAGTGGGGCAAAAGGGAAATCTATGCATGTGCAGAGTATTGGCAGTTTCTACAAGAAATTACTGTGCTAAAATGCTGGAGTAGGCCAATACCTTTAGCCCAATTAGTTTCTATTAYGTTCTTAAACAATATTACATAAAAAGTCACAGGATGAAGAGAGTTCCAGGTTTCCTGACTAACAAAGACGTTGTACTGCCAAAACTCAATCAAAATATCTGTTACAAAAAAATAAATTAGTTCAGACATCACAGTAGAAGCTGATTAAGAATTTATAGCAATATCACATAATGAGTAACTCCAGTCAAAGACCTGAGAAKTGTCTTACAAGACTGGAACACTGGAAACAAACTTGAAAAATGGAACTATTGGGATTTTTTTTTTTTGTTARAACTGTTTACTAAAGCTCCTGAAATTCTCTGGCAGTTTGAGTAATTGCAAGCAGTTAAAACTTAAATGCAGGTGTAGTTCAGATCTTACAAGGAAAGATTATTCCTGCTGATCTGCAAACACCTCCAGCAGAAAATATTTTAGTAGTACCCCACTCACATGCTGCTCACCACGCAGTTACAGAAGTATGAATTTGACAGCAAAATTCTAGACACATGCATCACTTGAAGTAAGTGTCTAGACAGCCAATTCAAACTGGCTGCAATGCAAGCTGTCAAGAAAAATGAAAACTGAAAGATGCAAAATGCAACAGAGATTAAGTCAACTACTATGCCAGAAAAACTTGGTGGTTGGGCCGGCACATTCCTGATTCACAAGAAAGCAGCCAGATAAACTGGTACCATTTACAACACTTGCTTGATCAGATTAATAGCACTCAGGCCATTCTCCAAAATACCCATACCTGAAACCAGAGTARCCTTCAGTGATTCAGGCTAAAACTTTCACATTTTTTAGGTGCCTATTTCCTAAACTCAATCTTTGTGGTTCCAATTCAACTTTTGAATCCATACTTCTTTGTTCTTAGTTCTCAGACTGGGGAAGCTAAACCCCCAGATACAAAGTTTTTTTTTTTTATTCAATGCTGAACTCTTCTGCCTCTTAAAACTTCTTACAGCTAATGAATTAACTTTCAAAAATGCATACACTTCTATTGTTCTCTTCTTGGAAACTTGCCATCCAGGCATTATTAGCTTTCAAATTTCAAGGTAACTGCTTTCATAGGCTAAATCTGTCTTTTATAAAAAATGCCAAGACTACACCAATACATTAAACAGATTTCCACCCTTCTAAGTGATGCAAAATATGTAAATTATATACAATAATAGTCCAATAACAAAGCAACGSTACCATCCCTCCAGCAAATGAAAAATCCACAATATTTTAAAGAAAAAAAAAAGACTCTCAGGAGATATTGATACAAAAATTTGTTTACATTCACACATACTGACTCTAGGGCTTTTTTGAGGAGTAAGAGGGGTCAGTCACCCACTTTTAGCCAACACTGATACGTAATACTGGAGAGAACTCTCATTCCACACAAATTTCTCAAAGCAACAGAACTATTGATAAAGAAACAAAATACAAGCCAAATTCTGAATCCARCCAGCAACAGAAAGGAGAACACAGTTACAAAACTTGTTCTCTRTAATGGTGCGAGAAGCAGATAACTTAGCAGTTTAACAACCACAAGATAAATTTGCATAGCTGACAGCTGGGAGGAAGTTTTTTTAAAAAACAGAATACATACAAAGTAGCTTACGATATTATGTACAATCTGATTACTTTTTTAAATGCCTATTTTAAGAATAAAACAAGGAAATAACCACCAAACTATAAGATASTTCATCCCTTAATGCATTTTTGTGATGGTTCAAGACATCTTTAAGTTACCTGGGAGAAGAAAGACGCCTCCTTTCTGATTCTCTTCTTTTCCTTTCTGCAGATCTACTCCTCACTCTTCTAACCGGAGAGCGGGTTCGAGAGGGGGATCTACTCTGTTTAGATCTACGATCATTAAAAAGAGGGGATCTGCTTCTTCTTGATTTTTCACGTGGTTTGGGAGATAAGCTTCTTCCTTTTGGGCTACGGCCAGGTCGTCTAGGGGACCTGTTTTCTTTCCCTGAAGAAGCATCTTTAGAAGGAGATTTAATTGGCTTTTTTTCTTTGTCAGTCTCTGATCTCCTAGGTTTTCTATCTTTGGACCGTGATCTTCTATCTTTGGATTTGCTTCTTAGTTCTGCTGGAGATTTAGATTTTCTGCCACGATCTCTGCTTTTGTTTTCATTTATAACTGGAGACTTTCTGCGGTCTCTTGATTTACTTTTATCATCAGCCTTATTTCTATCCTCTGGAGATTTAGACTTTCTGTTTTTCTCCTGAGATCTCCTCTTAAGTATTGGAGACCTAGATTTCCTTGTCTGATCTTGAGACTTACTTCTCTTATGAGGGCTTTTGGATTTCCTCCTTTCTTTTGACTTGCTTCTAGTAGTCTTCTCTTTGACTCCGTCAACTCCTGCCTTGGCTTTCTTTTTGTCAGATCTGTGCCTAGTCCTTTCTTTTGATTCACTCTTACTTGCTTTCTTGGAACTAGTTTTATTGTCCACAGGTTCCAATTTCCCCTTAGTATTTGACTTTGTTGTAGGCCTTGTTCCATTTCGTGCTTTTTCATTTATCTCCCCCTCTTCTTCAGATCCTGACTCATAACCTTGTAATATTAATCCCATCCCAGACTGGACTTTTCCTTCCATTAATTCGTTTTCAAGTTCAGCTTTCAGCAATGCTCTTTGTTTCTCTAAGTCTTCCAGAGGAGCCAAAAAATCAATTTTAGTTCTTTTAGCTGGTCCATCTTCCTTGTCAGAGGCATCAGCCACCTCTTTCCATTTATGTTTCTTATGTTTGTGTCTGTGTTTATGTTTTTTGTCCTTATCATCTTCTGAAGAATGTTTATGTTTCTTGTGTTTACTTCGGTGTTTGTGTTTCTTTTTTTTGTGTCGGCTGTGCTTGTTCTGAGGTTGGTCTGCCTCTGATACCTCCCCATTTTCTTCATTCACACTTTTCTCGGATGCCTCAGCATCCTCCACCCTGTAAAAAATAAAGAGATCAGTACTATAAACTCACTGTAGTCCTTTATCTTGTATTAAGTAGAAAGTTTCCATCATAAAATACTAACTGGCATTTATTCACCTACCTTTGGGAGAATTAAAAATGTACCACTAATTTAAGTAAGTTATAACAGAAGATACACTTCCTCAGAAACAGACAGCTATAGCTGCAGAAACACTACAGAAGGAACAGACAGCAAAAGTACTGACAAAACCAAATGTGTGGATGGAATCAATGCTTACACTTTTATATTCAATTAATAGCATGCAACAGTGCTGAATATTTATTTGTCAGTCYATCATTATCTATCTTACTCTCTGCTCCACTCCAATGCCTAACCCAACCCTTTAAAAAGTATTTTCAAATGGCAGCAAACAGTTGTGCTCCAAAGATCAAAATTTATTTCAAGGTATGATGCTGAGCACCTAATGAAACCTTCTTGCAAAATCTCACACAGAGCTGACTGACTCTCTTAGCTGCARTTATTCTTCTCTAAGTGTACACAGCTGTAGGAAAATTGAGACTTGTTCTTACACATTTTTATTATTCATGCAATCACACTATCAAGGAATAGGATAAATTAAGGAAGACAAATTTCAGAGCAGTTTTCTSAAAGTATACAGCAGATTACCACCTTTTTTTGAAGCTGCTCATCTTTACACCTGTAAAACAGCACTGATCAAAACAGCTGAAAATAAACCTACAGCAGGTTATTAAAATAATATACAGAGTAAGTAACTTACAGAGTAAGTTTCAGTTAGCAATAATTTCTTCAAATAGTAACTTCAAGAAATATAAAACTCAGTCCTGATGTTACACATTTCATTGTATTATCTCCCAYAGACACTGAAACTGGCTTAACAATGGGGGGTTTTTACAGTGTTTAGCAAATGCCTCTTGATCTCCTACAAAACACCACATAACTTACTGTCTGTGGAAATACAGACATTTAACTTTTAAAATCTATTGCCAAATATTACAGGTCCAAGAGCTCACTTTTCTATGATCTCGCCCCATCTAAACTACTGTTTTGGAATTTACTAGCTAACCCTTTAATTTAAACATAGCTGTTTTATATATCCAACCCTCATTAGGTGCAAATGTGACAGTCAGGAGCAGGGGTGAACATACACAGAAATGCAAAAGTTATCTTCTGAACTCTACTAGTTTCATACAACAGTTGTTTCTGAAGAGAATTATCAATAATCTGATAGAATACATGTTATCAGAGATATTCTAAGGCAGATTTAAAGGACAGCATCTCACTATAAATTTGACTAGAGTCTTCCTAGGATCTTCAAGCAGCACACATCCATGATCTCCTGCTTGAGCTAACAAATTCTCATGCTAGCAAATAATGCCAATTTTTMTGCAATCTAAAATTATTTGCTAAAATCATTAACACTTTAGTGCTCTGAAATGAGGAATTTCCAAAAGGAACAAACTGTTTGAGTTAAAAATATAAAATATTCAGAGACTTAACTCAGAATGCTGCTTCTATTTTCTTTTACTGTTTTATTACTACTTCTGCTTACTCAAGGCATATACAAAGGCACTCTTCTTAATTGCTTCCTCCTGACTCCACACAATCATGATAAAAGAWTATCAGAACAAAAGAGAAAACACTGGCTTAAAAAGAACTTACTTTATGTTGCGCTTGGCATTTTAAAAAAAGAAGTATTAAATGCAAAGCTTCTTCAATTTGGATTTGCAGTCCTGAGCAAGTCTATCTGTGACATAAGTTTGTGGAGAAATGCCATAAGGAGAATTTTAAGGGAACTATGTGCCCTTCAAAATTTCTTTTAGTTGGATTCAGGATGCTTTGTAGGTGCCCCAATTAACACATTAAGGGTACTTCAAGACATTATAAAAATATTAAAGATCAATAAAAATCACATCTGTTCAAGTAATTCCAGATTAAGTCTTTCTTGCCTTAATAGCAGAAATGGACACCAAAATTTTTAAGGAAGTTATTTCATTATCGCATGTATTTTAAAGTTACGTAATAACCTCATCTTAAATTCTGGAAAAGCCAGAAATGGAAGCAAAGGTGCCAGATGAGACACATCACCCCAGCAGTATCTCAGGCCATTACAGGCTGCCAATACAACTGCCAGTTGTCWCTGCAACTCACCAATAAAATTAAGTACATTAATATGTAAAAAATAGTTCAAATTTCCTCATGTACAGGGATGCATTTATTTACTGTAATTTCATTAAATTGCAGATAAACTTTTATGCCAGTTAAATGCTTCAGAGGTAACCATTTAAGAATATTTTAGAAGGTGATGAGGCAGTCTACATGTTTAAGTGCTAATGGCTTTAAATAGAGAATAACTGTGACATGATCTTGTTGCAGCCCTACTTTTTCCTATTTTTGAATTCAAGGAGAAGAAYTATAGGAAGCTCATAAGGATGCGATTTCACCCATCTTTTCCCACATACAGCATTCCTATCATCAGCTTCTATCTTATTATTTAACTTTCTCTCCACAATATAAAACATTCTTCTTCATATGTAAATGTTTTACATGGCTCACACGCACTTTTCCTTACCTGTTTCCTACTCCCAGAATTAACAATAAAATAAAGCCCCAAATCAAAACTTTTTAAGGCAGAAAAAAATACAGAAAGCAGTTTATATGCTAAAATATTTAAGTAGAAAAGAGGGGCAATAGAGTAAACATTAGGTTGCTAATTCCCAGGAAAATTTCCAGAAGATTATGTTCACGAGTTCCAAAGTGCGGACAACGCAAACCCCACGGCACTAACCGAGGTGCCAGGAAAACGCACACCCGGAGCCGCGTTCCGTCGGGGAGGCGGCAGCTCGATCTTCGCTTCCCAACGGGAGCCGGGAGTTGCCAGTCATTTCGAGGGCTGGAAGGAGGGGCTGGCGGCAACAAATCACTTTCTGCTTCCACCAGCACGGCCACTTTCCATACCGCGAGAGCGGCCGGGGCCCGGGGGAAGGAGGGAGGGAGGAGGGCTCGCCTCAGGGCGGGCAGCGGCTCGGCGGCCTCGGGGCAGCCCCAAGGCACCCGCTAGCCCGGAGCCCCCCGACCCGKCTCGGACAGGGTGTGTGGGTGTGTGTGTACGTTTGAGTGGCGGGGGGGATCCCGGGGAGCGCCGGCCCGGATCCGCCTCGGGAATGCCCGAGCCCTGCGCGCCCGGGCGGGCAGCGGCCTCGCAGCCACGCGGATGATGCGCATCCCTCCCCCGCGTCGCTCCCTCTCACGTCCCCCGCGCCGGCGGCAATCCCGGTTCGCCGGCGGCAATCCCGGCTGCTCGTGGGGGGAGCGCCGCCAGGGCGGGAAGGCGCACGCGGGACTCCCGGGGACACGCGCGCCCGCCGCCGCTTCCCTTACCTTCCCCCCTCCCCCCGCGCGGCCCTCGCGAATCCACGGGCGGATCCACGGCCCCGGGCCTCGCCGAGCCGCCCCGCCACGGGGCCAGCGGCGCCTACAGCAACCCCTCTCTCCTGGAGTGACCGCCTTCCCCCATCTTCCTTTCCTTACCCCCTCCTCCTCCTCCTCATCCTCCTTCCTCGCCACTTCCACCCGGGCCGCTTCTCACCGTCCCTGTCCCGTGTGTGTGGCCCCCCTCCCCAATCCTCTAAGCCCGCGCGTCTCCCGCCGCCTCCCTCCTCTTCCTCCCCGAGGCCCCAGGTCGAGAAGCCTCCCCCCCTCCAGCCGGTCCTTACTCGGGCGGTCGCTGCTCGGGCTCGGCCGCGGCGGCCATTTTGAACTTCCGAACTCCTTCGCTGCCGCCGCCGCCGCTGGGAGGGGGCGGGGGGGACGCGGGGCCGGAAGTGAACCCCGCGCGCGGGGCCGGGAGCGCGCCGGAGGCTCCGCCCCCCGTCGGGGCGGCTGAGGGGAGGCGGCGGCGGGAATGGGCTTGGGATGAGGTGTGGGGGGGAGCTCTTTGTGGTGAGGGCATTGAGGCGCTGGAACAGGTTGCCCAGAGAAGCTGTAGATGCCCCATCCTTGTGAGTGTTCAAATCTGGCTTGGCTGGAACTTGAGCAGCCTGGTCCAGTGGAAAGGTGTCCCTGCTCACGGCAGCGGGGTTGGAACTGGGTGGTCTTTAAGGTCTCGTCCAACCCAAGCCGTTCTGTAATTCCATGATCCTGTTCTAAGGCTTTGCTCCGCTTAATTTACCTTTCCGGGTACGGCCTGGAAAGGTAAGTTTTTTTTCCCTGCTGGGAAAGTGTCGGTGGGGTTTGGAGTCGGAGTGCGGGGCTGTGTCTGAGTGCACTGTGGTGGCTCCTGGACTGGACGGTGCAGGTTTCTAACCAGCCTTTTCGTCTTTTAAAAATACTATTAGGTTTAAGATCRCTGCCTTCTGTCTCCTAACAGGAGCTGTTATAAACTTACTACAGAAATGCTGTAACATTGCTAACCTGTAGTTCAYTTTTAGTTTCAGCAGGTGATTTGAGTAGTCATTTCTGGTGTCATTTTTCTCACTTCTTTCAGATAGTCATAAARTCTGCAGACATCCCTAGGACTGGAATCTGAATCTGGATGGCATTGCTCCTCAAACTTTGGATAAAACACTTGAAATAATGAAGTGGATTTTAACTCCTTTGTTTATTGTCTTTTCGCAGATTCATAGAATATTCTCAGTTGGAAGGAATCCTGAAGGATCCTCAAGTCCAACTCTTAAGTAAATGGCCTGCATGGGGATTGCCCCCACCACCTTGGTGTTACCAGCGCCATATTCCGATCAATGGCAACTTCAGAAAATTCACAAATTTAACTACAAATACCAATGTGTCTATGAATGAACCCACACATCACCATAAGGATGTCTCAACATCCCAGTTGTATGCTGCTCTGCTTGAGGGTTTTGAAGCCCGGATTGCCTGGTCTGGTGGAAATATTTCTGATGGAGATATGCAGGTGTAAGCTCTGCCATTTCACAAGCAGAATCAAAAGTAAGATCAGGATACATCTGGCTCAAATGTGTAAAATAGATATGGCATGTCAAATTTTAGGCTATCCTAAAATGGAGCAAGAGAAAAATGAGCTGTATAACATGGGAGATGAAAATAAAGAAAACAAAGAAAATCTCTCCAAAAATTACTGTCTTATTGCCTGTGTATCAGATGCCTCAAAATAAGAGTCCTTGCTGTCGTGACAAGAGCCTGAGCATACTCCTCATGCCTCTCACTCCTGTGGAAAAGCAATGGCTTATTTAYGACTTGAGGAACCCCAAGTGCTGGCTCCTCTGCTATATTCCAAGAGAAAGGATGGATAAGGCCAGTCTRTGTATCTTAGCATCTGTCATGTTTCCAGTGTTAGAACCCAGACATTCACTGGGGAGATAAAAACCCCTTAAGCTCAATCAAGGTGTGAACATCACAAGAAAATCCATTGGAAGCTGGATCTAAAGGCTGAGCTCACCCTGTGGAAGGTGCTTGTGCCTTGAAGCTGGGTTCTGAGGGAAGGCAGTGTTTCTGCAATTTGTGCAATGTAGCACTAGAGTTGAATGATGCTGAGAAAATCCATTTAAAGGGTCATGACATKGATTGTGGCTTTAAATGTGTTTATTGTCACATTACTGTGACATTAATGGAAAATCATTGAAAATCACACATGCAGATAAAAGAAACCTACCTCATCTGTGAAAAGTGCCTCATCTGTGAAAGTGCTTTTATATCACTTTGTAAAGTGCCTGGGAAGTGTACAGAAACAGCCATCAGAGGAAMCCTCAGTAGCCATCATCTGAAACTGCTCAGATAAGAAACCTTCATGTAGCTTGCTTGCATATCCTTGTAACAAGGATAGTGTTACGTGCCCACGCAGAGATTTTACCAGTAAGTCAGATTTTATTTTTCAGTCTCATATAGTTGCCTCCTCAGCTTAAACTAATCACTGCAAATAATTATTTGGTCAATGCAAAATTTATTGTAACCTTTCAGTATAAACTGTAAATRCTATCACTGGAAGCTACTGTAAAACATCTTCATGCTGGTTTAAGCAAAGAAAATRTAAGAACTGTAAAAATTCTAAAAATGTCTTGTAAATATTTACATTTTAATCATKTTAATATTGCAAAATCCTGTCTCATTTCATACAAATAGTTGACCATCATATTCCAAGAATTTCAATATTAGTTGCTTTTTAATGACTTCACATTACTGTCAAAGTATTTCTATCAATGTGAATACCTTTTATCTCTACTCTTTGTGATACTTATAGTAGCTAAATGTTATCTCCATTTGTAAATGGAAGACCTTGACTAACATAATCTGTCTCCTAAATCACAATAGGACATTATTCCAGTATTCTAGCTCTACTCTTTTTTTGCATTAACTACAAATGTTGCTTTTGTACCAATTTCACTTTTCCCTTATTGCTTAAATAATGTTTCTGACAGTAATTTCAAGTGCTTTGCCCTCAAAAAACTATGCATTTAGTGCTCACCTTYAGGTCTGTAGGTAAAAATCTTTAAAGATTGTGTACAAAAGGTAGCCTGGCCATTTTTCTGTGTAATCATTCAGGATTGCAGTGATTGTGGGTGGTTGCAGTGATTAATTGATTTTAGCAAGGTTTCAGTGGCTGCTGCTGGGATATAAAGCAAATTTTTGCTTTATGGGTTGAACTGCTGATTTGGTTCTGATTKCTCTTTATGGGCWAGTGAAAGAACAGGTTTCTYTGAAATGAGAATAARGCTCATGGGTGYGCTCTGGGGTTGGTGGCAGCGGTCRGGTAAGAAAACAGACAAGGTTAGGAAAATWAARGAATGTGGAATGAGAGAGCATCCTKTGGTTGTAGCCAGGCATCTGTGTCAGGGTATAGGGTTAGATGAGATTATAAAGGGTTTTGACTGAAAGATTTAGATTAGATTACATGTCATGTTGTSTAGATTTGATATCTTTGTTGGTTTTGAGATACTTGGGCTTGTTCTGAGGCTTTTACTGTTTGACAAAGGCAGGAGATAGAATTTTTTAAAAGGTTATTGCAGAATTACTGGAGGAAAAGTAATTGAGAAAATAGTAAYTTTTAGAACTAAAAGCAAAACAAGTTTTTAATTTGCTTCACAATGACTTACAGTGTCCCCTTTATTTTGTGTGACTGTAAGCCAAGAACAAGGCTGCAATCTAGTATAACTTCTCTAAGGGGTTAGGAAGGAAACCACATGGAAAGGCAATCGAAATTCATAGTATTTCAAAGCAGAGATGACTAGAGCAGTGAAAAAATTTATGAGTGCCTATACAAACAATTGGGTTTTTTTTGAGTGAAAGGAGAACTATGTTCTATTAACAAATTGTAAATTGTCTCTTGAATGAGTAATTTCATTCATTTTGGGTAGGAGGTGTGGGATCAAAAATCCATTTCCCTTGCAACTGTAGTGAGAAAACCTGGGACTAGATTTTCTGAGATGCTCTTTTGACAATTTCCATTATGTCTGGGGGCGAATTTTTAAGATTATAGCTTACCATTCATTATTACGTTAACATGCAGAAAGTTTACTTAATTTTAGCTTCCTAAAAATTTTAGCTTCCTAAAAATTTTAGCTTCCTTTTTTTAGGTGAAAAGTTTAATAGCTAAATGCTTCATAATTTTTTAAGATCTTGGTAGTATTGTGGAATTGTAAATATTTTATGTTTTTTTTCTGAATATTACTTACATTTTTGTAATAAATGTGACCAAAGGAAACCTTTCTAACTATTTATTTAACACCATGCTAATTTCTGTACATTTTTGAGGTGCAGAAGAAACAATAAAGAAAATGCAAGAAATCTTCAACTTGCTAATGTTTTTCAGGTGTTTCATTCCATTAAAGGAAACTTTACTGTAACACTATAAGGAACTATTTTCTGCTGATTTATTGTACTTGTGGAGCTGATACAATGGGTATAAGAGCCTTCCTGCTGGCAATGGGGATAGTTTTTGAAATAGTTTTAAATGCAGCTTCTTAGCATTAAAGCTTGTTTTTAACTTAGTTCAAGTTCTCACTGTAGCAATGCTAATGTTATTAGGTACAGTATGCTTGTTGTAGTTTTTTTTGTTGTAGCTACATGAAAGCCTAACTGGCTAGTGGAAAAYAATGTACAAATTGAATCTTAAACCTAAAAAAAAAAAGAGTTCAGAAGTTGCTAGGAAGTAGAGTGATTTTATATTAAAAGCTTTACAAAGAAAGGGTTTCTGCTCTCAATTGCATTTCCCTTTAAACAGAAAACCTCTGCAAAATCCGCAACCTCCAGCAGTACTTTCTCCAGACCAAATTTAGACTGTCAGCAGATGTGCTTAGGAGAAAATGGACATGTAAAGTGTACTTTGTCTGCCACTAAAAATAATCTTTTGAAGTTTGGGTATTCTAAAGTATCTGTTCCTTCAATATTTTTTTGCATGCTCTGTAATTTACAGCAAAATAACTCCACTGCAAGTATGTATTTTGCTAACTCATTTTTAATTGAGGTTTGAAATCTTTGAGAGCTCCTTGTTACCACATTTTTGTTTGGTCTGGCTTTTGTTYTGTTTTGTTCTGTTTTGACATTGGGAGTGCATCAAGCATTCTYAGAGCTGAGCTAACCTTGGATTTGCTGCCAGAATCCCCATGGTCAAATTATGTCTTCATAATCAATAGTTGCTCTTTCTTCTGAAATACTGTGAATCTCAGCCAAATTTGGCCTCATATTGCTTAAATAACCACAAAATACTTCTAAACTACATAGGCGTTAAGTTTGAATGCTTATGTTAATAACTGTTTAACCTGAGGAAATGTCTTTCTTCTATSTTAAATTAAAATATTTGCTCTGTTTTTAAGCTATTGTAACAAAGTGGCTTTTAATACAACTAAGGAAT